TTGTTCGCCGCCCTGAGTCCCTCCTGGAGAAGGGCGGCATACAAATAAACCAAATACAATACAATACAACATTTTTAACTAAACTTGTTAAGTATTTTCTATTATATTCTGAGCCTGCTTGTTTCTATTTTTTAGTTTCTTATAGATTTTCCTTTTATTAAAGGCAGAGAGCTATAATCCTTAATTTCCTTAGTTTCTTGATTATTTCCCCTCTCTAGAGAATTGCCTGCACTTCCCAAAATAACAAAAACTCCGCTAGCTGGATGGTAAGGTTGGGGGAAAAGGGAATGTATATTAAAAAGCCTTTTTCCCTCATGAAGATGCTGGGTATAATTTAATACCAACAAACCCAGTATGAATTATGTATGTAAAGTAAAACCTCCTTGGAAATGACTTTGAAATGCAGAATTCTTCTGCCTGATGAAAACTTCAAAGCTTGCATAATCTTTTGTACTACTCTGATTCATCCCAATAAGGGAAGTGGGCCTGTAAAAATATGATTGCTTTTAAAAATTACAATATCTCATGTTGAACATGGAAGCATAGAAGCAAGTATTCTGATCATATGAGCACAAGCAATACAGTGCAAAAATAACATATTTAGCAAAGTGGGAAAAAAATTAAAGCTAGATATTCATGGGGGTAGTGTGGAGAGTGACAAAATAGGGCTGCAATATGATTACACAAAATTCTTCCCCTATATATTTATATGTAATATCAGGAAACAACTATAATAGCATGAGCTTTGCTTTCTGACCTGCCCAATGGAGTTTCATACAGAATTATTTTAAAATATGTAAGACAGGTATTTGTAATGGAATGTGGGAATGACCTAGGGGAACGAGGGGAAAAGAAATTTAGAAAGGATTCACCCTAATTTATTAGGTGATAAAAAGAGATAGTGGGAGAATTGTATTTTAAGACTTGGAAGAATCTGTTAATGTAGCCTTACAATAAATTAAAATTAGCTCATTCTGCTTGTCTAGTCATCTTGGGAGGCATTTTATTATTTTATTACTGCAACTTCAATATAAAACTTTTGAGGGAAAATGAAACAGTTTCTCAACTTGCGAAGTAGCTAATTCTTTTTCCTTCATGCCAGAAGACTTTGATATACAAACCGTTTTGACTATAATGAATTGTGGTATTTCAGAAGTATGCTACATAATACCTACATATAGGATAAGCTAGATATTAAATCCATAATCAAAGAACATCCCTAAATGTTTCTATGTTGATTTTATATCTAGTGATTAGTATGATAGAGTTTACACAATAAATTAAATTAAATAAATTATAGTTTAAATAGTTTTGCTCTAAATGTTGCTTTCAAGACATAAGAAACAATAGATTGGTTAGAAACCAATACCCTAAACTCCTTTACAGAAATTCCATCCACTCACTGGTATAGGTATGTCGATGATACTTGGGTCAAGATTAAAACACAGGAATTGGAAGCTTTCACCAAACACATCAACTGTGGATAGCTATATTAAGTTTACTCAGGAAGATTTTAAGGAAAGTAGTCTGGCCTTCCTGAACTGTGCAGTACACATTAAGGAAGCCTGGAAGTCTTAATATTGAAGTTTACAGAAACGCCCCCCAGCCCCACCCCCAACACAGACCAGTATTTGCATTTTGATTCTCATATCCTATAGAGGCACAAGATCGACCGTTGACTTACCTGAACGGTCCTTCTATGTGTGCTGCGAGGGGAATCCAAGCATGGGTTAAC